CCTAGCATTTACTAGATATATGTTAGTGTGGTATATATACGTGAAGGGACATCAGTGTAATGAGTAATTGAACTGCAGTAAGAGAGAATATTGTTGAGCACATGAGAAGTTCGTTGAGAATTATAGCGTTTGTTATAGAGCGACTGTTGAAATTAAGTGTATCGTAAAGTTGTATTCGGAAAGAATAAACTAGTTTTATTAAGTAAGGACTTGTGTCGCTAAAGTTTCGTCGGAACGAAGTTACGGAAAATCAACTAACGAACGGAGACGTGACATTATTATATCAATAAATTTCAATACTAAATTGTGGTCCCAAAACATTATGTTATATTAATATGTAATGCAACACCATTTTTTAATACCTTATAAAAATTTATTTCCTTAAAAATCTGGATATATTTGAAAAATTCTTGGCGCAGTTTGTGGAATATGTCAAAAAATTTTCTTTACATCTATTTTTAGTTTTAGAAAGTCAAGCTCTGAAAAAAAAAGTGAAATAAGGTTCAACTTTTCAGCTTTTTCATCAAATGTGTGCATATAATTAATCTTGTTTATTTGGGCAATTCCGTTTGGAACTAAATTATTTCAATATATACAGTAAAATCCTTATGAATGTGTAACATAATTCTGCAAAACTTATTACAGGAAGCTTAAATTGCACTGTTCTGTGATGCAATCCCAATTAATGAAAAGTATTTTGCATTCGCTAGTTTGTGCACAACTTTATTTCTTTTTTAGATACATGTAAATGAGATTACATATAGCATATGATATTATAAATTACAAAATAAAACCCAAATTACTTGAATGCACTGTCTGTAATCACACAAAACTTAGAGTTTCTCATATATAATATTGAAATTAAGATTAATTTAATTGTGTGTTTTACTTTATGGCCCCCTAGTAGCACAGCACTATGTCTGCAGATTTACAACACTAGAAACCGTTTGGATCCCTGTGGTTGGCAGAGCACAGAGAGCCTATTGTGTAGCTTCATGTGTAATTTTAGTTTTTATTCAGTTAGATTTAACACCATTAAAAGTTTAACTGTGTTCCATTTCATACGATTTTAATATCAAGAAGTCCAGACAATATTCAAATGTGATGATACTGTTACGTCTCTGTGTTCGTTTGTTGATTTTCCGTAGAAAGTCTTTCCGAAGAACTTCAGCGATACAAGTCCTTTCTTAAATAAAACTAGTTTATTCTTTCTCAATTCAACTTTGTAGTACACTTAACTTAAACACACGATATAATTCACAACGATTCAGGCACTTTACTTACGGTTTGACTCGATTATCTGTCTTTATATCTCTGTGTCTGCAATTCAATCATCGTCGTCACTTTACGTGCTGGCTTATATACTAAAATAGAGGGCGCCTAGCAAATACTGGATTATTCGTGATGTTCCCCGATCCTTCTAGAAAATCATCACGTGTTACCAGCGTCACGTGAGTTCCGCTGTCGTAACAATACTGTTACGTCAATGGTCGTTTGATAATTTCCCGTAGAAATTATTTCCAAGAAACTTCAGCGATACAAGTCCTTTCTTAAATAAAACTAGTTTATTCTTTCTCAATACAACTTTGCAATGCAAAGAATTTCCATGGTCACTTTAACTTAACAAACACGCTATAATTCACAACGATTCACGCACTTTACTTACGGTCACTATAAGCTCACTTGACTCAATTATCTGTCTCCATCTATCTATCTGCAATTATATCTTCGCTTTATTTGGCGGGCTTATATACAAAAATAGAGAGCATCTGGCAAACACTAGAGTTGCCAGGAACAGTCATGATCTTTCTAGAAACTCATGACGTGTTACCAGCGTCACGTGACTTCCGCTTGTCGTAACAATACTAATATCATAGTCTATAACTTGTGTAGAATACATATGTAGTTGTTCTGCAAGTAGTTGTGAATTTATGGTAAGTATGATGGATGAACAAAAAATCATAAACATACACTAAAACTCTTCTTTAGGTAAAGGTTATGTACTATAATGGTTATGTAATGAAAGGTTGTACCAACCTGAACTTATACCTGTGTCTTCTCAATGGGAGAAGGTAAGCCTATTTTAAGGGGTAAAACAAATACATCAGCAAGTTAGTATGAACTAAAAGGTTCTTTCTTTTGTATATGTTATTTAGAATTGTCACTGACACAGGTAATCTGGTTTGAATGGAAAGTATCATATTTCATTATTCTTTCTTCTGTTCCTATTATGAAGGAATGTTTTGAGAAATTCCTTCTCTCCAGCCCCAGCGACTATTTGCAGTCTTAGAATAAAATCGCTACTGGTCAGTAAGTAAAAAAGACTAAGAAACACTGTTAATGAATAAAGATATTGTTTTATTTTTCATTTATGTCATTTGCTTTCCTTTGCTGTCTGAGATTATTATAAATTTATACATAACATTTTCACAACCTGTTTTGCAGATATTAGAATATATGTGGCAGATATCAGTGTGCCTGAATTCCACATAAGTACTTAAA